ATATAAAAAATATTATTTTGTAATTTTACTTAATATTAATTTTTAATTTAATATATTTTTTTTATATAATATATAATTGTGTGCTTTTGAAATTTGTTTTTTTTTCTATTCTTCGTGAATTTGACAGCCCGAATTAGTGACAAAATACGGATATCATATAGAGATTCATGACATTATTACGGAAGATGGTTATATTCTGCAACTGCATCGAATATCGAACGGTCGCAATAATAATGATGTGAAATGTAAAAAGAAAACAATACTTTTAATGCACGGTTTGGGAGGTAGCTCCGCCGATTGGATTCTCACGGGTCCTAAGAAATCATTAGGTATGCTTTATAGAGTTTCGGTAATGTTAAAAAACAACCCGGTAAAAAATTTTTTATATATACTTGTACACAAATTAAAATAATTATATCTAATTATGCAAATTTATATGTCGAATATGTCCATACAATTTTATACACGGAGAATTTCTTTTTTAAGAGAATGGCTTCAGAAATATTCTATATCAAATTACAAAATAACTCTATTAGTATCATGTTAGATACAAAAAATTATATAAAACTATATTTTTACTATATTTTTAAAAAAGTTTTGATATATAATCATATATATACTTATACACAAATTAAAATTATTATATCTAATTATGCAAATTTATATATATATATATATATATATATATATACCGAATATGTCCATACAATTTTATACATGAAAAATTTTTTACCGGGAATTTGCGCATTATATATTATCATAACATTGTATTATAAAGTTACACATTTATGACAAGATTCACTAGCATGTAAAAAAATAATAAAATGTACAAAAGATAAAAATGGATATTATTTCTTTAGAATTAAATAACGTTAAGATATTGACAATGGCTGTTTGAAGCAAAACACTGCTGATTATGTGTATGTTTATGTGTAACTTTATTTGAGAAAACTAATATATATAACGTTTTCGGTCTTCGAATTAGGCCTTTTTCCAATTATGAGTGTGTGGACATGGTTAACAAGTTCTTGAATCAAGCTTAACACAATTTCACATGATTACGCTCAGCGAGTTACAAAGTAACTGAAAGAACCGAAGGCAGGGTGTCGGTTCGAAAAAAAAAAAATTTTTTTGAAGCTTGATTCAAGAACTTGTTAACCGTGTCCACACACTTATATTGAAAAAGGTCTAATTCGAAGGCCGAAAACGTTATATATTAGAAATCAGAAAACGGATAACTCCAGATATTCAAAATTTTTAAGAAGTGGCAAGGCAGTTGGAGTCAAAAGCACAGTTGTTGTTGTGTATAAATGTAATAATGATGTTCTTTATTTATAATAGTTTGCAAAAATATGACGTTTCGACCCTAGTTTTTGGTCTTTATCAAATTCGTTAGAAATGTGCTGTTCGTAAAAACGTCGATCAAGATACAAATACAAGCTGTTACATGGTAGTGACAAGAGTTGTTACTTAACTCTTGTCTGCTTTTTCTTAAAAAAAAAAAAAAAAAAAAAAGTTATACAGGGTGTCCCAGAATTGCCGTACAATCGCTCGTAGGCAGGTATTGTAGAAGGAGTAAAACTGAGTCGAAAAGTCCTGAACCATTTTTATTAATTATTGTGAACCTTTTGATCTTCTGATCTGATAGTGGGGATATCTATATATATTTGACTGTTTTATGTTTTCTTGCCAGTACACATTATATTATTGTATTACTTTGACATCTATTTGTTAGTGATGTTGTGTACTACAATGTTACTTCTTAATTAAGTAAGTTTTTTATATTATTTTCAATTTACTAAGATGTTTGTGTTGCGCTTATTTTATTTATTGTTATTTTTTTATTTTTTCTTGTTAGACTTAATTATTTAATACTGAAGAAGGTCCAAAAATTGTGCCCGAAACGTCTATTTATTGAATAAAGACAACTTTTTATACACGACCAACCTGTATTTTACTGCTCGTATCGGCCTTTCGACTGTTTTTTGTTTTTTGTCCTTTATTATAAATAATAGAAAAAAATGGTTCAGGACCTACCTGCCTACGAGCGATTGTACGGCAATTCTGGGACACCCTGTATATAGTATTAGTTTTCTCAAATAAAGTTACACATTACATACACATCATCAGCAGTGTTTTGCTTCAAACAGCCATTGTCAATGTCTTAACGTTATTTAATTTTAAAAAAATTTGAAGCTGACTACATGTATCATTATTTATTTATTTACTTATTTAGCATACATATTAGCTGATACCGGTTACGACGTGTGGCTAGGAAATAACAGAGGCAACGTTTACTCGAAAAATCACACTTCATTGTCACCGAAAAATCGAAGTTTCTGGAATTTCAGGTATTCCAAGAATTTTATAAACCACATTCTTTGGTAATCACTTTATGATGAAAACAATTATAGAAACAATATCATTTTTTTTTAAATATTCAATTTTAATCCAAGAACGATAAGAGACAATATGAAAATAAGGTTCTTAAGGTTTGTTTTTTTCAAGGTCCTTAAAAATGAACTCTTACACGTGTTTTAGTTATCACGAACTTGGTATCTACGATCTTCCTGCGATGATCGATTATATTTTAAACGTAACGAAGCACGAGAAAATCATATACATTGGTCATTCGGAAGGTACAACGCAGTTTTTCACGATGGCTTCGGAAAAACATCGGTACAATTCGAAAATCAGTCTGATGATCGGGCTGGCACCCGCGGCTTTCATCGGCAATCTTAGCGGTCCGATTACAAAACTAGCAAAGTTGACAAATCTCGGCGCGGTGAATTTTAATTTTTTAATTTTTTTTCAAACATCTATAAATCACTTTGAAAAAAAAAAAAAAAAAAACAAATAAGTCTAAAAATATATAAAGTTTGATATGTGAATTCTATTTGCAGTGGATCGGTGAAAATTTTGGATATCCAGAAATGCATTCTCGATCCTCTTGGGGAAAATTCGTATCGAATCTATTCTGTTACGACACGGCAGTCACACAATTCTTCTGCACCAATATGCTATTTATGTTCATTGGATTTAGTCAGGCGGAATTAGATACGGTACAATAAAAAAAAAAAAATAAATAAATAAATACCTGTCACCGTTTCTTTTGTTGCGTTATTGATTTTCCTTTGTTTTCTCTAAATAGGAAACTCTAGCGGTTATCACCGGTCATGTGCCCGCAGGCGCTTCTTGGAAGCAATTGGTTCATTATGGTCAAGGATATATTAATGCAGGTATATAACTGACAATATAATTAGTATTAATTAATAATACCGAAAGAAGAGAAAAAGTTAAGTGAAAATGTAAAAATATAATATAAATTGTTTTTTTTGCAGTTTTAAAAAATAAAATAAAAAATTATATCTATTATATTTAATTGTATTTAAAGAATCTTAACAAGTTTATATAATTACAAAATTCAAGATAATATTTTGAGCCGAAATAGAAAAATATATAACAAAGTCTTTTTCGAGCTTTTAATGGATCTTAAAAATTTATTTAGAGACAAAATGCAAATAAAATTCAAATAAAATTTAACATCTAACAAATGACAAACGTTTCGGCCCTAGTTGAGCCCTCTTCAGTGTACAAAGATAAATATAAATATAAATAGAAATAATCACGTCATATCACAAAAGTTCGCAANAAGATGGAAATTGAAAAGAAAAGATGATAGATCTTACATTAAAAGTCCATGGTAGGTTGTATAATGTTTGACTTCCCGAAAAGGTCGTGTAGAATAAATAGTCGCACACAATATACAAGTTGAAGTTAAAACGTTTTGAAACTTACATATCCAAAGTAAAAAAACCTAAAAAAAAAAAAAAAAAAAAGACCTTGTTATATATTTTTCTATTTCTATACTTATTGTTAATATTGCGAGCGAATTTTATAATTTAATATATCTTATATTTTGAGCCGGTTTTTTTAATGTTTTAGGACAGTTTAGACAATTCGACTATGGCAAAGACAAGAATCTTCGAATGTACAATTCGACCACACCGCCGCATTACGAATTAGATAAGATCACGGTGCCGATTGTTCTTTTTAGTGGCGAAAATGATTGGTTGACACCTACAAAGGTTAGATATGTATATTTTTTATATGTATATATAAATATAAATATATTTATATTTCTATTATATTTATATTTATATTTATATTTTTTATATGTATATATTTTTTATATGTATATTTTTTATATGTATATATATATATATATATACACATATGTATTTAACACACAAAGCTTCATAAACATAATCGTTTTCTTTAATTTTAAGGATGTTGAAGTTTTATCCTCGAAGCTTAACAGTGTACTGTATCATTACAAGATCCCTAATTCTACGTTTAATCACTACGATTTCCTGTGGGGAAAATCTTCTTTCCAAACGGTGTTTCAACCTATATTACAATTACTATCTCAATATTAACAAGTGTTCTCACTTTCAAACAACACTAAAAGACAATTGATCTTTGTAACAAAAGAAATTATAAAAAAATTATAAAAATAAAATAAAACAATAAAACTGTGTGAATGAATTGTTCTATAATTTATTGTTGTTATTATCATTATTATACATATGTGGCGCTTATACATATATAATCCGATATATTATATCGCACTCTCTGTCATGGAAACCATTCATATCGCAACGCATATCTAACGATTTGCACTTCCCGATTATTAATACCATTGATGTGTGTATGTACATTTATACATATTTTTTATATTTTATTGTAATCAACTTGCGAGCACTATGTAAGAAACTACATCTGCTATTTTTTTTTTTTTTTTTTATTATTTTTCATAATCGCTTTGAACCATCGATATATATTGAATTATACATTTAGAGATTCCTCTTTTCTTCCGTTTCTCTATAATCGCACTTGAGCAGCGCCGAAAAAAAAATGATGGTTTCATTCGCTTTTAAGAACTGTTAAACGTTAGAAAAGCAGGAATGTATCGTGTAACTATTTACGATTCTCCGGCTTAGTGGTTAAACAATGTGTAGAATTGACACTCGCGAATATACTTAATTAATATAAATCTTTATTGAGCACGTCGTTAATTTTTTCCACGATATCTACTATATATATGATATTTATTTTTATATTTTATCTATTGTATATATATATATATATATATCCTCCAGAGGATTAGGTTTTGACAGATCATGCTCTGTTTGTTTTTCTCACATGGATTCATACGTGAAAGTACGAAATCTACAATTGTTTTTTTTTTTTTTACGTGGATTTCGAACTAGTATAGAAATATTAAAGACATCTAAGTTAAGAAAAGTCTCTTGGCAAGTGCAACACAACAACTTCGGTTAGTTATGTCACTGCTTTCCGAGATTTGAACTCGGGAGTTTTTGACTGTCATACAGTTTCCGCACAGGAAACTTAGCCGAGCCAGTAGGTCTCTCTCTCTCGATCACGCTTTAATAATTAAAATTCCTAACAATAAAATCTGTCAAAAACAGAAAATTGTCGTCTAAAAGGTAGCAACTTGTATGCGTTTTTACAGCAATTTGTTGTCAATATCTGTCGACATAATATTTTCTTATACGGACGTAATATACTATATATATCCTTATATTATACTATATATACTCTGCGTAAATTTGAAAAGAAACACGTAAAAAAAATAATTGACGATTGATGAAAGCTTGAAAAATAAAAATTAATTATTATAATAACGGCACGATGAAACAATTATAAAACAAAAAAATCAGAGAGAGTCTGTGGTCCAGGTTGGACGTTTAAATGTAACATATAAAACGCGGTGTATTCCGGACGTTTCGATCAATTTTTATTGGTGATCATCCTCAGCACTAGCTCGACTAGTCATCGCAAAGAACGTCCAATTGTACAACCGGTAATTGTACAACTCGAGAAAAAATGGATTAGATCTAATTTAAATCTAACGAGATCAAAAAAATGGAAAAATAGATCTAATTAAATAAAAAAAAAATTAAAATAATAAAAAAATAATAAAAAAATAAAATATAAATATAAATATATAATAAAATTTATATATAATAAAATATATATAAATAATAAAAAAATAAAATTAAAATAGATCTAATTAGATCTAAATTAAATCTGAATAGATGTAAAGTATAGATCTAAATAAATATAAAATAAATCTAATTTAAATCTAACAAGATCAAACAAATGGAAAAATAGATCCAATTAGATCTAAATTAAATCTAAATAGATGTAAAGTATAGATCTAAATAAATATAAAATAAATCTAAATAGATATAAGAGTAAATCTATGGAAAAATTTTACAATTTTATTTATTTTATTAGATCTACTCTTGATCTACTCGGATCTATTATATTATATTACCTCGGATCTATTATATTATATTATTAGATCACCTAAGATCTGTTCAGATCTGCTCAAATCTAACTAAATCTGAGTAGTTTTAATTATAGTAGATCTGAGAGTAGATCTAAAGTAGATTTAATAATATATAAAGAGGTGTAAATTTAATAGATCTCTGCTTATATTTATTTAGATCTACTTATTATTATTTATTTATACTTCCAGCCAGTTGGCCAAGAAGGGAACTTGATTTACACCTCTTTCCATTTATATTTAGATCAACTTTATATTTATTCAGATCTACTTTATATCTATTTAGATTTAAAAAATAGATCTAATTAGATCCAAATTAATTATAATTTGGATCTAATTAGATCTATTTTTCCATTCTTTTAATCTCAAATTTAAGTTAGATCCATTTTTTCCCGGGAAGGAACCAAAACAACAGATAACATAGACGTGCTAAACATCAAAGTATGATGTCTATGTATCGGGAGAGTTTTTAACTGACAGATTAAAAACCGGATTAAATGTATGTGTACACGTATCATATGTTTTGTAAGACGGTCATACTTTGGTCCGTTTCTTTGTGTGTTGGCGAGCGCTGCGACATTTCAATCCGGTTTTTAATCCGTCAATTAAAAACTCTCGACACATAGACATTATACTTTGATGTTCAGCGTGTCCATGTTATCCGTTGTTTTGGTTCGTACTTGCCGGTGTACATTGGACTGTCTTTGTGACGACTAGTCGAGCTGGTGCTAAAGATGATCGCCAATAAAAATTGATCGAAACGTTCCGGAATACACGTTTGATGTTACATTTAGCCTGTGGCCCCCACCTTTAACTTGGACCACGCAAGCTCTCTCTGATCTTTTGTTTTATTAAAAAATAAAAATATTTTGAATATACATTTTATTTTTACTTAAAACTAACTTTTTCATCTACTTTGATCTACTTTTGTTTAGTATTTTATCATATTAATGATATTATTCTCATTTATTAATTTATTATATATTTTTTAAATAACTCTTTGTTAATACACAAAAAGTAACTAAACTGCCAATTCCGTTCAAAATTGTAAATAGTTTCACAAGCATTTCCTGCTAAAAAGTATTTTTAATATCCATTATCTTTTCTGATATAATATATATCTTTCACACTCTTCGCGATTTGAAATGTTTCAAGCAATTTATTCTAATTCTTTTATCTCACGTACATAATAATTTATAGTTCATATAATAAGTATCTATAATTAGAGAATTATATGTATATATATAACTCATTTTCTATATATGTATGTATATATTATACAATATACTAACTTATATATATCATTTTAAAGCGTTTTCTTACGTTATGTGTGTGAGTATGTGTGTGTGTATGTGTTAGCTATACGCGAATAGGAATAGACACACAGTTTCACAAATTTAAGAACTAAAAAACAATAAAAAAAAATAAAAATTTCTTCCTCTCTTCTCCGTCTTTATCTTACGAGAAGTAATTTGGATAAATCAACAAGTTTCTACACGGAAAAAAAAGTTTTGCTATTATATAGGCAGCAAAAAAAAATGGTTGATCCTACGAAATTTTTTGTTTCATCAACAAAATATTTTGTTGGCAAAACAAAAATTTTACTAAACTTAACAAATGTTTTTTTACTGGCCATATAGTAACTAATTTCTTGCTATTTTAGCAAATTTTTTTTTCCGTGTATAGTTTCGTACATTAATCCAAATTTTACTTAACAGACGACACTTGCGCAAGATAAACACTTTATGCAATATACGTAAAAAATATCAAGTAAATATCAACTTGTATTTTAGTTTTTTTTTTTTTTTGTTTTTTATGATTTGATGTCACAATTTAATAGAAAGCAAATCAATCAAACTTTTAAATTGTTTGCAGAACTGTCGTTTTTTTTAATGTATAATGAGTAATGTATAAATGTATAATGAGTATACATAACATATATTATATGTATATGTATGTATTATATGATATGTATTAGTTTATGTTAAAACACGTCTCGGATGGAAATGACCAGCAAGAACTCTCTTTTCCCCTGATTTATATAAAATTTATCAATCGACTTTGATTTGCTAAAGCTTCATTTATCTCTCAATTCCACAAAAAACAAAAATAAAAATATAAGTAGAAAATTTCACTGTGTTCATGTATGTTACCGCCACGCTGTACAGGCAACATATGTTAACAAAGAATTATGCGTTAAAAAAGACGATAATCAACATTTTTTTTACATGTTTATCACCGAAAAGATGACCCTGATAAAAACTCTTTGTAATTGTTCAATTCAATTTCCATAAAATTCGGGAATATGTAAAATCTCGGGTAACAAAATCCCGTTAACAAGAATATAAATTACAACATATACCCCCGACAATGAAATAACAATATAAAGTTTCATTATTTGATTCAATAATATATAAATTACACTGTTACGAGACTTATCACTTCAATTTATTATCTCAATTCTATTCAGTTATTCTGCGCAAAATAAGTTTTGATATTATTTATTTTAATGATGTAACGTTTCTCACGAAAGATATAAAAGTCTGTATTATAATATATAAAAACAATATTAAAATATATCTCTTCCACCACCACACGATTAGATAAAATTGTAATATGAAAAAAATGTAGATAAAAAAAATATAAGTAAAAAAAAACTAAAAAAGCTATCGTGTGTATATATATATATATATATCATATCATATACACGTATGTCTTCTTTATAGAGTTATTAGCGTTATTTGTAAAAACTAAATATAATTTTCTTTTTTGTTGGTGCAAAAAATCTCAAAGCAGACATTGTTCTTTTAAAACAATGCAAATTAAATAATATAAATTTTGTACACGCAAAGTGTGAAAACACTGGAAAAATATCTCCAAAAAAAAAAAGAAAAAAAAACACTTAGAAAATAAACCTTTGCGGAACAATTTCTTTATAAAACAAAACCTGAATTATAAAAGAAGCAAATAAAAACAATCGCGTTTGTGGTGGAACGAGAGGTAAAGTGATTAATTTCTTTACACGTAAAGGGGATTGTTTTATTCGTAATATTTTAAAGGAACAGAAAATCACATACCTTCGTGTATATATATATGTATCAGGAAAAATAATCGCGGCTACTGTCGTAAGATAAAAAACTTCTTGGTTACAT